GCGGACCAGGAGCTGTCACTGCAGAAGTATTATTCGCTTTTGGCAACGCGACTGCAAATGGGTCAAGTGTCGTTTGATTTTGCATCAGAACTAGTGGCTTCCGGATACGCACATCTGACTCACTTTTTGCCAGACCAAACCGCAGTAGCCGGGATTGCATTTCTTCCTGATCCGGTTTGCGCATGGCTTGCAATGACCCAGATGATTGAGGGCTGCAATCTATTTGGGATTGATGATGGGATTCCCACAGAGTGCAGTGAACCTGCTTCGGTTTGGTCGGAGAAGGCCATCAAAATATTCTCCTCTGCATTGTGTCGTCCTGCAAAGGGAGATGTTGGGGTTGCAGCTGCCTTTTATATGCTGGCTTGCGGAGATGAATTGAGGTTTGAGCAATCGACAGATCTCACTCAGCCAGGTTTCTGTTCCACTAGAGAAATGGATTGCAAGATTGCAACATGCTGATTTGAATACTACCCTCAACCTTTGGGAAGCAAAGGCAAGTGTCAACTTCATGGAAGTTTGTCCGAACTACCTAAGCTATAGTTTGAAAGAAATGCAGGATAGTGGGCTTTTCAAGCATTGGTGGAAGAGCATCGTACATGTATGCTGGATGCGCAGCGTACGACATAATGGTACCAGTGCAATACACTGTTAACAGGACTTTGCATTATTGTCCCATGTTGGTGAAAATCAAAGTGGAATTTTTGCCAAAACAACGTCAAGCTGCAATCGAGGCATTACAAAACTTGCTTACTGACGCAGGCATCCAGACTGGAGTATGTCTACTGTTGCTCATTGGCCTCGACAACACATCGAAGAAGAAAAACAAGAAAAAAAAACAAGAAAAAAAATTAGAAAAAAAACCAAATCAGGAAATAGTTTCGGTCATGGCCAAATTTTTACCGTAACAGTTGTGGTACCGAAGGAGGATCGCTTTGGAGCAACCAATCTTGCTTTGTGCTCAACTTGTGGTGGTGGGCAGGAGTTGGAAGTCATGGTGTTGCATGCAGAGCTTGCACTTTGGGCGGATCATAGTTTTGACCGCTTGCTCAAAAGAAAGGATAAAGATGATGGCCTATCCCAATTGCTGTTTGAAGAGATAAGGGAAGGATATGCCAACATTTCATCCAATGAAGATGATTTTGGAGGAGCAACGGCTCCCGATGAAAGTAGAGGGAGTACAAAGTTGAAATAATGGAGAGAATCATGGTCCTGTAGAGTTGTAGGAAAAGCTGAGTTGTGGAAAGATCTATCAACTAGGGGAGAAATGATTATTATGTTGCAAGTGCCAACAAGAGGAATAAAATAGTTTTTTGATTGTTACCCACCGACACTCTGCGTCTGCTCATCATCCGTCACTCTGGGGGATATTTTACCTTTTTTGTAACCCCATAATCTAGTCGTCCAGTTCAGGGGAACCCTGGTTTTACTTTGGGATCAAATCGGAACGATTTAATATATCGGATAAAAAAAATTCCCCACATTTTACGTAATCTGCAAAGTGGCCCATCTTCTTTTGTGCATGTGAAAACTGAGATGTACGGTGGGGTTTGGTTTTTGGGTGTCAGAAATTAAGTTATTTATTTAGTTAATGTTTTTTGTCACATTGTGTGGAGCCTTAATACGACCCAAATTTGGTCGTTTTATTTCCGACTAGCTCGACCTTTTGAATGTCTATTCATTCATTCATTCCACGTGGAGGTCTCAAATAATTGATTTACTGATTGATTGATTGATTCCACGTGGAGGTTAGTTGCAAGAAATGCCAGCGCATGAGACACGATTGGACTGATTAAATCCACAACTTTCTTGATTTGAATTTGGCGCTGGCGCGAAGAAACAAGAACTTGATGTTTTGTGGGAGCAAAAGACAAACAAAAGAAGCTTTCCATACCTCGGAGGCAATGGCAGATGCCAACTATTCTAGTCTAACATTGTTAGCTACGCGTATTAGTGATGGCTCGAAATAGGCTAGACAGCGCCAAAAAGAAGCGGCGGCGTTGACAGAGATACAGAGAAAAACGGGCTAGTCCTCCCTTGACGGGAGAAGAGAGGAATGAAAGACGACGGAGGAAACATTGTCTCTACAATGAAAAGAGAAGAAGTAGCCAATACTCCTCTGCGCTGCCATCTCAAGACTCTTCTGTGCTGCCATCCCAAAACTCGTTACAGCATACCACTGCCGCCAAGGATCATTGGAGGATGAGCGCGCCGGTCGTAGCGATCTGGTGCAATATCATCAATACCTGTTGTGGATCTGCTGAAGGCACAACAGCACAAGCTGGAGGCGAGACAGCATGATTCAACAACAACAGACTCAATTTCCTTGCCTCCGAATATGGTGTGATTGTTGTGTTGGAACATCTGGATGATGAAAAGATATTCGGGTATCGATGTTGCACGCTGTATCACGACTAAACCACTACACATAGGTTCTATAGACTGAAAATGTGTTTCCTAGAGTACTTTATGATTGTTTGTGGAATGATTGTTGCCTGTCTGGTATTGGAATCTAATTGGCCCGCAAACAGGCGGAGGCAGAAAGAGAAATGCAGTCCACACCAGAGAGACCACTGGCAACCAATACTATGGTAACCCCCCCTTCTGTACCTACAGAAGAGTACAACCCAGCAGGAGTTGAC